TTTCTCTAATTTCTCATAATACTCTGTGATTTTCTAAATTTTGTGTAGATACTCAACTTTTTTTTCGCTTTAATTTTCTCGGATTAATGTGTTTTCTTKATGATTTTCTTTGACTTTTTCCGATTTCCTTATGATTTTTCTATGTTTGCTCTGATTTTTTCGGTTTTCTTTGATTCCCCTAAGATTTCTTTTATTGTTCCTGATATTTCTTAAATTTCTTATGATTTTCTCTGATTTCCCAAATGTATACGTATCATCAGATTTTTTTTTGCTTTGATTTTTCCATTATTTCTTTTGATTTTTTTATGACTTTCTCTGTTTTTTTCATGATTTCCTTCTCTTTCATAAATTTTGTAAACCATTTTTTTTGCTTGGATTTTCTCGTATTTCCTTGATTTCTCTATGATTTCAATTGACTTTTTTATGATTTCTTTTTATTTCTTTGATTTTTTCGTGTTTCCTCTGATTTCCTGATGATTTTCTCTAATTTCCTATGATTTCCCTTGAATTTCTCTGATTGATGATTTTCTCTGATTTCCTAAATTTTATACATCAGATATTTTTGTTTTCATTTCATTTATTTTTTCTTGATTTCTTGACTTCTCTCTGATTTCATTTTATTTCGTCATGTTTTTCTTTTAATCCTCAAATTTTGCACACCGATTTTCTCAATTTTCTAATTTTTTCWTTTTSCCCATGTTTCTACTGATTTCTTTACAATTTYCCATTATTTTCTCAAAATTTCTCTTAATATATCAACAAACGAACAAAAAACTAGTCGAACATGCACATTTTTCAATGATATGTTCTAATTACCATTGATTTCCTTATAATTTTTTCTGATTTCTTCAATTGTGAATACCGATTTCCTCTGTGGTTAATTTCTCGGAAAAAGTAAAAAAATATTCGGCTAAAGTCAGCGCTAGTTTTTTTGCATATTTATAGTGTTTGTTGCAAAACATTGATAACATAACATTAAAAGCGTTAAGGTTTTTTTATCATGAGAACATAATCCTTGACCATACCGATTTATCTAGTTTGTCCGAGTTTCGAAGCAATGATTTATTGGTTTTTTCACTCGATTTTGAGAAAACAATTAAAAAAAAACTAGTGGCATAATGAATTGATTAACTAAAGTTGTTAACAGTATCTAAATTGAGAAATATGTTTCTTTTTCTTGTTTCTTTAAAGGAAATAATTTTAATTATTTTGGTTTTGTTGTGAAATTAACAGTAATAACAGATAATTACACAAATTAGAGTCTAAGTTATAATTCAATAATGTGGTGCACTTGCACTGGAAGTGAAGATATCCTGATCACATTATCCACTTAGCTTAATCAAATCTGTTTGATCTCGTAATTTTTTCCAGACAAGAAGCCCGCGATATAATTAAAAACGCATCGAACGCCTCTGATTCCGACGCGGTTATTTTTACCGGTCATGGTTGTACGGATGCCCTCCAGAAATTAATCAGTGCTTTGGACCTGCGAGAACCCCCAATTGTGTTCACTGGCTCAAGTGAGCACCACGATAACATCCACTTGTGGCAAGAAATCGGCGCTAAGGTGGGTTTCTTCCTCTTGGTGCTGTGCCAAGCGTGAAATTATTGGCTTGTTTTGCACTCTTTWTCTAAAAATTATCTTTGTTTAGATGATCCGAATTGCGGAGACCAAGGAAGGGTTCTTGGATCTGGTCGATTTGGAAAACCAGCTGCGTTTTCACCAGAATTACGGGAGACAAATGATTGGGTGTTTTTCAGTGGCTTCCAATGTGACTGGGATTGTTATTGATGATGTTGCCTGTACTATTCTGCTGCATCAGTACCAAGCACTTGCTTTCTGGGATTACAACATCGCGGCTCCGTCAATTAACATCAATATGAATCCCGTTGTTCCCGGAGTTGAGGAAAATTCGGCGAACAAAGACGCGATTTATTTCTCCGGACATAAGTTCGTTGGTGGTGTTCAAACTCCGGGTAAATTGTGCGATTTTGTACCCAACCATGAATAATCAAATATTTATAGGAATTCTTATTGCCAAAAAAACTATTTTTAGACGTCTAAATTCGTGCGAAACAGACGGCTTCTTCACGTCACAAGAGTACAATAAAGTGAAYAAATCGAGACTTTAATTGCTCAAGAATAATGAAATTTTCTTTTAGAGTTTTGAGATGCAAGAAGAGGGAAGTTGTGCAGCTGTGGTCGAATCAATCAGAGCTGGACTTGTCATGCAATTGAAAGAGACCGTCACTGTTGCCAACATTGTACAAAGACAGGAGAAAATTAACAAGTAAATATTTTTTGGCGATAATTGTGTCACGGACGTGTTATTTCCAGACAAATGCTGCAACACATTCGAACCATTCCTGAAATAATCCTCCTGGGGAACACTTCACCGAACTTGCGCAGGATTCCAGTCTTCTCCTTCATGGTGCGCCACCCCAGAGGCACTTTCCTACACCACAATTTCGTCGCWGCCGTCCTTAACGACGTTTTCGGGATCCAAGCCCGAGCTGGGTGTCCCTGCTCAGGAGTCTATGCTCAGGATTTGCTAGGAATTGATCCGTGTCTCGCCGATCAGTACGAAAATATCATCCTGGAAGACAGGCGACTYAGTAGTTTGGATTTAGGGGTCGATAACTCAAATTTAGAGTTACTCAGGCCGGGTTTTACCCGAATCAGTCTTCCTTACTTTATCAATGATGCTGAGTTGGCTTTTATCATGGAAGCTGTAAAGATGGTAGCGACCGAAGGCTGGAAGTTGCTACCTCAGTACGTCGTRGACCTCGARACCGGTCAATGGCGCCACCACACCAACGCCATGTTAAAAGAYCGGAAATGGTTATCGTCAATACGATACGTCGATGGTAAAATGACAATGAACGAAAGACGGGTTTCCGGACCCGGACTTTTCCCTCAAAGTCACCAGGAGTGTTTACAAACTGCCAGAAATTTATTCAACCGGGCCCGGAAAACTGCCAATCGGACTCCTTACACCGACCAAGGGATTAGTTTCGACTCCCGAGGGGAGAAACTCCGGTGGTTTATGTTACAACACGAAGCTCAGAATATCCTCACTAGTAACGCACAAAACATCAAACAGAAAGTACCCTTCGATCCTGTGACTTACTCAGGATCTAAAAGAACCGAAACCAAGGAACACAACCCGCCCCCGGTATCAAACTCTGGCTCCCCGAGACATTTCAGCTTACCCTCAATTGATGACCCGAGAATCCTCACATGTTCCTCTCCAGTCCCGTATTTCYTACAAGACGTAAACGGCCTTTACTACCCTCAATTGAGTCAACCTACGGTCAATTTCGCTGTTGGTGAGACCGTCAATTCGGCCAATTTGAACCACTTGCAGAATTTTGCAAGGGAGAGGTGTTTGAGTTTAGGGGCGCCTAATATCTCACCGCCGGTTTTGAGTCCTCAAACACGGGCTAGTCTAGGTATGAAACACTTCAGGCAAAGAAACTTCAGTTATAGTAGCCAGAATGAGTTGCATTCCTTGGAGTCGGAAAATAACGTTTCGCCCACTCACAGTTTGAATGTCCTCTCGACGAGTAGTTACGAAAGTCAAGTGGGGCGGGCCTCCCCAGCCCCCGACATCCAAACTTATGTCACGGAAATGACCAAAGAACTCGCCACGAATATCAAATCCGAGATTCGTGAAGTGATTTCACGAGTGGAAGATGTGTTAGAAAACACTGATAGTATTGTTTGCTACGAGCGACATGGAAGTGGGAGCGAGGATGGTCGTAGTGACTCGATTTCGGCCAATGAAGTCGCTGAATATATCGAAAAAGTTTCAATTGAGATGGCGAATGAGGTTAAGAGTGAAATCAGGGATGTTGTTAGTGCTGTTGACGTGTTTATAACACCTGATTGTCAGTATTCTCGTGAGGAGAAGAACGAGTTGAGGGAGGTTTACACTCCGGGTTCCAGTAGCGAAACTGTCATTCATTTAATCAACCGACTTAGTGATGAAGACGAAACGCAGCGTGAGRAACCGTACAAGAACAAGATTTTAACCTCGACTGTTGCTAGTGTTAGTTCGCAAGATAGCGGGATTAACTTATCATTCCACGAGCAAGAGTACTTAAGTAACGAGTTTGGGAAGACTCGCAGCAATTCCGAGTCATTGGCTCGCAAGTCGGAGAGCGAAGTGAAGTTTTCGACGTTGCAAAAACAGAAACAGAAATATATTAGGACGACTAGCGACAGTGGRGCTTTGGAGGCGGCGGCGGCGAAATGGATGTGTTCACCGAAAAGTATTTGGCAGCCGACGGTGGAAGCCATCCAAGAGTTTGAAATGATCAAAGATGGGGATAATGTCATGGTTTGTTTATCAGGGGGAAAAGACTCGCTCAGTCTCTTGCACACGCTTTTGCAATTCCAAAATTACGCCCAAAATAAGGGGATTTTGTTCAGTTTGGGGGCGGTGACGGTGGATCCGGACACGTCAGGGTGCGACCCCTGTGTCCTTATCCCTCATTTGAGGAGTTTAGGAGTGCACTACATCATCGATGATAAGAAGAGCGATCCGGGGGATGAATCAGGTTTGTGCCCATTTCGCGCCTATTTTTACTAATTGGGTTTATTTAGAACAAAGAGAAGAAGCCAAAGAGAATCTTTATAGCTTTTGTACGTCAAGCACTCGTCGTCGTTTATATTCCGCAGCCAAAAGTTCGGGGTATAATGTCCTGGCCATTGGCCAACATTTGGATGATCTCTGCGAAAATTTCTTCCTTTCGGTGTTCCACACCGGGAGGTTGCGCACCATGAGAGCTCACTATTACATTAAGTAAGTCAATATTCAAGTTTAAGGCCAAAATCACGTTGTTTTCTTCCACAGGGAACACAAACTTAGAGTTATAAGACCGTTTGTGTACGTTCGAGAGAAGTATTTGCGCCAGTTTGTCAGTAATCAGAATTTGCCGGTTTCCGGTAACGTTTGTGGTCCAGATTTGACAAAAGAGAGGCAGAGGATTAAGCAGGTGTTGACGCAGCAGGAAATTCTGTTTCCGAAGTTGTTTACCAGTCTTCGGTCAGCACTACATCCACTGATTGGTTTCCAAATCAAAGAGTGTGAAGTTAAGTATCGACGAAGATTGAAATCGAAGGAGAATGAAGATTGCTCGGAGAATGAGACTGATGAGGAACCGGTCGTGTCAGGGGACTCGAACTGCTAATTTTCTGGATGAGTGTTTTGGTGTGAGAGTCATATCAAAAATTTTTCGAATTTTTGATTTTTGTACAAATTTTGTGATTGTCGCGGTCTCAAGAAATTTTTTACCAAGACCGCATTATTTTCCAATAATTGGAACAGAATGATATTATCGACTGAGTTACTTTTATATTGTATTTAATTTCTACTTAACGCGTTGATGCATTTTTAGTTAAGTACAGTGTTGATGTGGTATGGATTGTGCAGTTTCCTTTAGGGAGTGTGATTTTGAAAGTATATAATTGTTGCATTCAGATTTAAGATATTTAATAATGTTAATATGAGTGAAATGTATTTTATTTCCTAAAAACTGTAATAAAAATTTGAAATTTCATGCGCTTTTTTTTGCTTCGATTTTCTTGAATTCTTCATGATTTTCTCTGATTTCTTATTTTTTATGGCTTTTTCCTGTTTCCTCTGATTTCCTCATGATTTGGCTAACTTCTCTTGATTTCCTCATGACTTTCTGTAGCTTCTTCTTATTTTGTCGTGATTTCCTTTTATTTGTTAAGTTTTGTACACTATATTCTTTTTCGCTCTGATTTTCCCGGATTTCTTTGATTTCTTGATAATTTCCTCTGATTTTCTTTAACTTCTTCCGATTTCTTCATGATTTTCCTCTATTTTTTTCCGGTTTCTTCAGATTTCCTTATATTTTATTCTCTTATTTTTTCCATTTAATTCTGAATTTCTTTGATTTCTCAAATTTTGTTTTTTCTTTGATTATTTCATGATTTCTCTTGATTTTCTCAAAACTTTCTCTGATTTCCTCTTATTTCTTTTTATTTCCTAATAAATTGAATGTATTATTATATTTGACAGTTAAAATTTTTGCCACTTGACGTATGCGGTAGCAAATTGCTCAAAAATAGCTTAAATTGCATTAGTTTCGGTGAAATACATTGAACTGCAACAATTTCTTACTTAAAAACGGCAGTCTATGGTTATGGTCTATGGCAAAATGCTCATTGTGACACCGAAATAGAAAAATCAAATTCTTCCATTTGTGAAATAATAAACATAAAAAAATGAAAAATCTCAGTTGGCCAATGGTTTTGAAATTGNAAGATAGCGGGATTAACTTATCATTCCACGAGCAAGAGTACTTAAGTAACGAGTTTGGGAAGACTCGCAGCAATTCCGAGTCATTGGCTCGCAAGTCGGAGAGCGAAGTGAAGTTTTCGACGTTGCAAAAACAGAAACAGAAATATATTAGGACGACTAGCGACAGTGGRGCTTTGGAGGCGGCGGCGGCGAAATGGATGTGTTCACCGAAAAGTATTTGGCAGCCGACGGTGGAAGCCATCCAAGAGTTTGAAATGATCAAAGATGGGGATAATGTCATGGTTTGTTTATCAGGGGGAAAAGACTCGCTCAGTCTCTTGCACACGCTTTTGCAATTCCAAAATTACGCCCAAAATAAGGGGATTTTGTTCAGTTTGGGGGCGGTGACGGTGGATCCGGACACGTCAGGGTGCGACCCCTGTGTCCTTATCCCTCATTTGAGGAGTTTAGGAGTGCACTACATCATCGATGATAAGAAGAGCGATCCGGGGGATGAATCAGGTTTGTGCCCATTTCGCGCCTATTTTTACTAATTGGGTTTATTTAGAACAAAGAGAAGAAGCCAAAGAGAATCTTTATAGCTTTTGTACGTCAAGCACTCGTCGTCGTTTATATTCCGCAGCCAAAAGTTCGGGGTATAATGTCCTGGCCATTGGCCAACATTTGGATGATCTCTGCGAAAATTTCTTCCTTTCGGTGTTCCACACCGGGAGGTTGCGCACCATGAGAGCTCACTATTACATTAAGTAAGTCAATATTCAAGTTTAAGGCCAAAATCACGTTGTTTTCTTCCACAGGGAACACAAACTTAGAGTTATAAGACCGTTTGTGTACGTTCGAGAGAAGTATTTGCGCCAGTTTGTCAGTAATCAGAATTTGCCGGTTTCCGGTAACGTTTGTGGTCCAGATTTGACAAAAGAGAGGCAGAGGATTAAGCAGGTGTTGACGCAGCAGGAAATTCTGTTTCCGAAGTTGTTTACCAGTCTTCGGTCAGCACTACATCCACTGATTGGTTTCCAAATCAAAGAGTGTGAAGTTAAGTATCGACGAAGATTGAAATCGAAGGAGAATGAAGATTGCTCGGAGAATGAGACTGATGAGGAACCGGTCGTGTCAGGGGACTCGAACTGCTAATTTTCTGGATGAGTGTTTTGGTGTGAGAGTCATATCAAAAATTTTTCGAATTTTTGATTTTTGTACAAATTTTGTGATTGTCGCGGTCTCAAGAAATTTTTTACCAAGACCGCATTATTTTCCAATAATTGGAACAGAATGATATTATCGACTGAGTTACTTTTATATTGTATTTAATTTCTACTTAACGCGTTGATGCATTTTTAGTTAAGTACAGTGTTGATGTGGTATGGATTGTGCAGTTTCCTTTAGGGAGTGTGATTTTGAAAGTATATAATTGTTGCATTCAGATTTAAGATATTTAATAATGTTAATATGAGTGAAATGTATTTTATTTCCTAAAAACTGTAATAAAAACTTGAAATTTCATGCGCTTTTTTTGCTTCGATTTTCCTGAATTCTTCATGATTTTCTCTGATTTCTTATTTTTTATGGCTTTTTCCTGTTTCCTCTGATTTCCTCATGATTTGCCTAACTTCTCTTGATTTCCTCATAACTTTCTGTAACTTCTTCTGATTTTGTCGTGATTTCCTTTTATTTCTTAAATTTTGTACATCATATTCTTTTTTTTTTGCTCTGATTTTCCCGGATTTCTTGATAATTTCCTCTGATTTTCTTTAACTTCTTCCGATTTCTTCATGATTTTCTTCTATTTCCTCTAATTTTTTCCGGTTTCTTCAGATTTCCTTATATTTTATTCTGTTATTTTTTCCGTTTTATTCTGAATTTTTTTGATTTCTCAAATTTTGTACACCAGTTTTTTCTTTGATTTTTTCATGATTTCTCTGATTTTCTTATGGTATTCTTTGATTTCCTCTTTCCTCTCTTATTTTTTCCGTTTTATTCTGAATTTCTTTGGTTTCTCAAATTTTGTACACCAGTTTTTGTTCTTTGATTTTTTTATGATTTCTCTTGATTTTCTCTGATTTTCTTATGATATTCTTTGATTTCCTCTTTCCTCTCTTATTTTTTCCGTTTTATTCTGAATTTCTTTGATTTCTCAAATTTTGTACACCAGTTTTTTTTTTATTTTTTCATGATTTCTCTTGATTTTCTCTGATTTTTTTATGAATTGAATTTATTATTATATGTGACAGTTAAAATTTTTTGCCACTTGACGTATGCGGTACGCAAATTGGTCAAAAATAGCTTAAATTGCATTAGTTTCGGTGAAATACATTGAACTGCAACAATTTCTTACTTAAAAGCGGCAGTTTATGGCTATGGTCTATGGCAAAATGCTCATTGTGACACCGAAATAGAAAAATCAAATTCTTCAATTTGTGAAATAATAAACATAAAAAAATGAAAAATCACAGTTAGCCAATGGTTTTAAAATTGGATATAGGGCGGGCTTTAATGTTGATTCTAAACAACTTTTTTTAATAACTTTTTGTCATTTTTGTCACATAAAAGGCACTTTACTCAATAGTAAAATGTTTTTTAAAACATAATTTTTCAAAATTAAAATTGTGTTAATTTCAGCAAGCAGGGCTGAACCCCAAAAAATTAAAATTTAAACCGAGTTTTTTTATTCTTTTATCTGTTTCATGGGACACACTGTATAATTGTTACATTCGGATTTAAGACATTTAATAATGTTAACTTAGCATGAGTGAAATGTATTTTATTTCCTAAAAACTGTAATAAAAACTTGAAATTTCATGTGCTTTTTTTGCTTCGATTTTCTTGAATTCTTCATGATTTTCTCTGACTCCTTAATTTTTATGGCTTTTTCCTGTTTCCTCTGATTTCCTCATGATTTGGCAAACTTCTCTTGATTTCCTCATGACTTCCTGTAACTTCTTCTTATTTTGTCGTGATTTCCTTTTATTTCTTAAATTTTGTACACCATATTCATTTTTTTGCTCTGATTTTCCCGGATTTCTTTGATTTCTTGATAATTTCCTCTGATTTTTTTTAACTTCTTCCGATTTTTTTATGGTTTTCCTCTATTTCCTCCAATTTTTTCCGGTTTCTTCAGATTTCCTTATATTTTATTTTCTTATTTTTTCTGTTTTATTCTGAATTTCTTTGATTTTTCAAATTCTGTACACTAGTTTTTTATTCTTTCTCTGATTTTCTTATGACATTCTTTGATTTCCTCTTGTTTCTTTTTATTTCCTAAATTGAATTTATTATTATATTTGACAGTTAAAATTTTTGCCACTTGACATATGCGGTACGCAAATTGTTCAAAAATAGCTTAAATTGCATTAGTTTCGGTGAAATACATTGATCTGCAATAATTTCTTACTTAAAAACGACAGTCTATGGCCAGTGATGGCCAAAATATTGCATAAAATGTCATCAAAAAACAGTGTCACAAAATGCTCATTGTGACACCGAAATAGAAAAATCAAATTCTTCCATTTGTGAAATAATAAACATAAAAATATAAAAAATTACAGTTAGCCAATGGTTTTGAAATTGGATATAGGGCGGGCTTTGATGTTGATCTATGATGTTGATTCTAAACAACTTTTTTTAATAACTGTTTGTCATTTTTGCACATAAAAGGCACTTTACTCAACAGTAATTTTTTTTTGATAATTTTTAAAACAATTTTCCAAAATTAAAATTGTGTTAGAAATTAATCTTTCACCAAGCAGGGCTGAACCCCAAAAAATGAAAATTTAAATGGGGAGTTTTTTTTACCTGCTTCATCTATCCGCGGACACACTGTATAATTGTTACATTCGGATTTAGGACATTTAATAATGTTAACTTAGCATGAGTGAAATGTATTTTATTTCCTAAAAACTGTAATAAAAACTTGAAATTTCATGCGCATTATTAGCCTGNGACATTTAATAATGTTAACTTAGCATGAGTGAAATGTATTTTATTTCCTAAAAACTGTAATAAAAACTTGAAATTTCATGCGCATTATTAGCCTGATCCACAACACCAGCAATAAATACAATAAGCGTTAATAAAACGATAAAACGTTACAAAAAATATAAATAAAAAAAAGGAACTTGGATTTAGTCGGTGCTTTCGCAGGCCTGTCCACCGTCGGCGCACCCGCAGTCTGAAATAAAAAAATCATTATTTGATCCAAATTTCAGGAAAAATTACCTTTGCCGTCAGCGGAGCACTTGCAGTCGTCACCACATTTGCAGTCTTTGCCGCAGTTTGACTGCCCGTCGCCGCAGGTTTCTGAAAACGTTTCAGTATTGATTTTCAGTTTCACGGATTAARAAACGTGACTTACCTTTGCAGGAATCACAAGGAGAAGGCATTTTCAGAGTTTTGCTCACAAATGAAACAACTTGACACACGAACTRTAGAATCGGAAAGACGCTCTCTGGATGCCGGTATTTATTATAAAGCCAACCTGACCCCACGATCGAACGTTGCTCTGAGTGGTTGGGTGGGGATGAGCAATGCGAACAATTTTTATTCGCAAAAATTTCACAAGTTCCAAATTAAAAAAATTAATAAAAATTAAAAATCCGGTGATTCTATTGCTTGTTTTTTGGGTTCCTAAGGGGTAGAGATTTTGTCTCACCCTTGCAGTGTCGCCACTTTTTTATTGTAATTTAGGTCAGATTGAGCTCTACTTTCGTGGGAAAAAGTGGGGTAATTTCCCTGTTTGCGATCGGATGCAAATCTAGACACGAAAGGATCTAGGAAGAGTTGCATTTCTTGTAGTTCACCGACCTTGTTGTGGCCCATGTTTAACATCATGCTTCAGTTAGATTTAACAATTACGAAAGAATTGCAAGAATCGTAACACAATTGAGCATTTTGTCCTCTTTTACTGCTAATGACTTTAACAAGAATTTCAAGCATCCTGAAGGAACATTTTGAATGAATTCTTTTGAYGTGTAATAAATGGGTTTCTTGGAAGAAAATCGGTCTAATTTAATTATTATTAATAAAATTTTGTTAATTGAATAAAAAGTGATGAGGCGAGCTGGAATTTTTCCGGTCGGATGCATTTCTCGCATTCAGSGCCGGACTGGGGGATTTTTGCGGATGATTTCTTGCAAGGTTTTTTAACTTATTTTGTTATTTCATTATAAAATTAAAGAAATTTTATAGTACACCTAATGGAAATTATTAAAGATTATTATAATTCATTGAAGAATTAATTTCTGAAGAAAATACAATAGATTTCGAATCTTCCAAGGATTTTTAGATTTTTTTGGGGTACTCATAAATTTATAAAATTAAATAAAGTGCATATAAACCATGGAATAATAAGGATTTTGTTAATATTTTTAAAGAATTATAAAAAACTGAAGATTTTTAGGTTTTAATATCTTCCCGAATATATGAGGAGAGTTTTTTTTAAGTTTAGAAACGAAGTTCTTGGGTTAGGGACTTTTTGGAATTATTTGGGATTGCATATTGGAACAAATATTCTGTAAGAATTAATTGAAAGGTTTTTTAAAAATTTGAAAACACAAATTTTAAGAAACAGAAACTAGAATACCATATAAATAAAAAACACTCTCAATTTATAAAAACAGGCAAAAATTACAGACCTGATTTTACACTTTCTTGCCTTGTTCTGACGAAATTTTTCGAATTTAGTGAGTTTCTCGGTGAAAAATTTTCAAAATTATAAAACCATGCAAGCAAAAATAACGCATTTCCAAGTCAAACTTTACAGTTTTTTGATAAAAACTCTTGAATTTAATTAATAAGTTTTTCTACAAAAAATGATCTAAATTCTTAGAAAAAAAGCGAAAAATTTATTATTACTAGACCTTATTTTGAGAATTCTTCTTTGTTTTGTAAAATCTTTAGAAATTGTTGCGCTGCTCAGTGAAAAACGATTTATATTTCTTGAAATAAACGAAAAAAGCAGATTTTCAGATCTTATTTTTGCAATAACAAGGAAATGTGAGAAATAATTAAGATTTTTTTCTTCTATAATATGTTAAAGATTGTTTTTATT